CCTTTATGCTGCTGTGCCGAGGTTGCCCCATGTGGAAGAGTGACATGAGAGTTAGGTCACAATGTTCTGCTCTGTTCTGCAGTGGTTAAAACTGGGGTAGCTCACGGCTGGCAACAAGGTTTTGATGAAACAGTTCAACATGTTTACAAGGGGTATTACTTTTAAATATGTTATAAAGTTGTCGCAAGGATTCAATAAAAACCTGTAAATAAAGACATTGGATGAGGTACACAATAGGCACACAATATTCTATCCATCCTACTTTACTCTGCTACAGTAAGCATAATCATTCAGGGGTTTTTCTTCTAAGGAAAGTTTGCAAGTTTGTCTGTCATTCTGAGAAATTTAAGGCATAATAGTAAAAAATAAAGTCCTAAGGTCAGAAAAGCCAAGGATACTTAAACAGAAGTCAAGAGGGGTAAGGGAAAAGACCCAGAAAGTCCTCTCATTACACAACTTAACTACAACAACATAAAATTTACTTATAAATTCAATTTTTAAACATACTGAGGAAGAAAAATCCTAAAAATAGTCTAGCTGCAAGCACCAACTATTAGAAATTATATAATATTCGCTGTTACTCTCTTAAATCATTGCTGACAATGATTGCTTAAATCATTGCTGCTTTTATTGGTTTGTCTTAGCAATTAGAGGAGGTTTCCATATACTTACTAGTGATTTATGCATCATCATCCTATTTTCAATATCATGTTAAGTTTCTTAAATAGCAGCTTTGTCACTACACTGGTTTCTAGGCATAAACCTAGAATCTGACCATTTTTACAGGAGCCAAAAGTGTCCATTTTGGCTTTGGTAGGTCAAACCTTTTAGGTCATTACTGAAGACTCACTTTCTTATTGAAAAAATAAGTGGGGTTGGTGTAGTGGTATAGATTAAACCACCATCTACACAATTGGAACCCTAAACGGGTGTGAGTCCAAGTCCAGGATGTTCCATTTCCCAATCAGCTCCCTGCTAATATGCCTGGGACAACAGCAGCAGATGCTTGGGTCCCTGCACCCATGTCAGAGCTGTGGATGTAGGTAAGGTTATCACATTAACTATAATATATGATCAAATACCAATTTTAGTAAAATGTATTATTATGCCCCCAAATTTTGCCTGGGACATACTTACACTGGGAAAGGAATGAGTTTTAGGTAAAATTAAAGTCTGACAGGAAGTTCTGTGTATTTTTATATGCTAAATCTGGTAAGAATAAAACAAGTTTTCCTAGTTCATTCCTCAAAACTGAAAATTCAGTGAAAAAGGAAATAAAGCTTTGAGGCAAAACCCTATGTTTTCATTAAAGTATGATCACTTCAACAACGTAATTCAAAACAATTTACAGAGGAGTGTGTTGTTGTTACACAGCCAGTTGGAACACTGCCATCCAGTATCAGAGTGCCAGGTCTAGTGCCAGCATCTCTCGCTTCTATCCAGTCCTGCCAGTGTATCTAGCCAGCAATGGAAGATGACACAAGTATGTGGGTTCCTGCTACCCACTGAAAACCCATATGGGATCCCTGGGTTTAACCTAGCCCAGCCAGAGCTAATGAGTGTATGGACAGGGTCAATCAGTGGATGAAAGACTGATCTCTCTTTCTCTCTCTCTCTACATAGATATATGTGTGTGTGTGTGTATACACAACACATATTTTTTAAGACTACAGACACTTCAAATTACCCAAGCGAAGCATTGATTTATGCAATTGTGAAAGTCCAATGAAGCTGGAATGCACTCTGATTTTGCAATTATGTTTCTCAACTAAGACGGATTTATCACATCTGCAATTCAAGACTGATATCATCTGATATAAAGGTGAAAAGACACAAATTGCTCAAGTTCATGAAATGCTTATCTTCATGATGACTTCCTACTTTTCTGTCTTTCCTATTTTTAAAATAGCAACTATATATTTAAATATATTAAATATTTTATATATTTATTTGAAAGGCAAAGTTATAAAGAGGGCTAGACACACACATACAAAGAGAGACTGACTGATCTTCCAACCACCAATTAACTCCCCAAATGGCCAACTTGGCCAGGCATAGGTCCAGACAGAGCCGGGAGCTAAGAGCTTCTTACAGGTCTTCCACATGGTACAGGGGCCCATAGGGATTCAAACACTAGAAATCTTTTCTGTTACCTTCTCCAGACGCATGAGCAGGAATCTGGGTCAGAAGTGGAGCAGCCGGAACTTTAACCAGCATACATAAGGGATACCAGCACCACAGGTGGTGCTTTGCCCACTAACCCATAATGCCAGGAACAAACCTATTTTTCTAAAGAAAAATTGCTACTGACTTCAGCCAAATACTGAAAAATTATATTCTTTTCTTCAGAGTTGATATTTTTATGCTCTATGTAATATGACATGTTTCAGTATTCTAAGAGAACTCTAATGTCCTATGGCTTCTTTAAACATTTCCAATTTACTATACATATTACATCATCATTAATTTCAAAGAGAAAATTCCAATGTCCTCTAACCTAATTCTCAACCCACAAACCCAATTTGTTTCATGAACTTAGGGGAAGTGATAAATATGAAATATTTATTCATTAGCTGAAATCGAATTCAAAATTCCCCTGACAATTTGATGATGAGTTATGACATAGCATTATCCAAAGAACAGAAGAAAAAAGTGCTATTTAAAATTGTGCTTCATCTAAACAATTTTTTCTAATTATAATAGTATATATTATATCCCTGCACTTCCATAATTTTATTATCATAAATCCATAATCCTGTTTAATCATTTAGCAAGGAAAAAAATCCTGAAATTTGAGATTCCAACGTTGTTTTTGTCCCATTATCAAGCTCACATGAGAGAAAAAGCACATTAAAACCATTCCACTGTGTACCCTAATCCACATACATCCCTATGTCCACTGTGATAAGGTTCAGCTCGGGAATAAGTACTCAACTCAATGCTCTGGCCATTTTAATCACCTCTGCTTTAAAATGCATTGTGATCAGCACAACTTTCAACAAGGGTTGTTTTCTGATGGAAACGAAAAAGCAGGAGAGCAGTCTTACCACATTTACACGTGCATTTCATCTATTCTCATTCTGTGAAAGCAAATAAAACCTGCATTTAATATTGTTATCATTTGAGCACTTAAGAGCTTTTGCCTCTCAAGATGAAACAACTGCATGACAGAATACATTTTCAAAATGTTCAATATGATCTCAAACTGTTTTAATTTTTTTCTGTAACTCGCCTTGCTCATAGCATAGATGTACGCATATCAAACATTAAATGTTTCACTCTCTCCAGCACTGCTCTAGGTTGCACTAATAGACAAGCAGGAAAGCATAATGATGAATTACACAATATGGTCAGCATGAAAGAATTGTTTTCTACAAACACACTGAGATGAACAAACACTGTATATTTCAGAGTAGAGTAGTTTTAATGCCACATGTTAGGGAAGGTCCACAGAGGCAAACGTTTGCAAATTTAAAATTTGCAAGACCTAGGCTAACCAGTAGAAAGGAACTTTGGAGAAATGACAAGGCATCTTGAGAGCAGATCAGTCTAAAGGTACAAGCATCTTCTTCAGGATGTAATTAGGTTTTCCCAATTTCCCACTTCAAAAAAAAAAATGTTACAGAGACAACTTAGAAGAAGCTATCAGCATTGACAGAACACTGAAATACTGGCAGTGAACCATAAATTGACCATTACCATAAAAAGAGCTACTAAATCAGAAACCATGTGTTCAGTATAAAACTAATTTCATGCTTTCAAAAGCACACAGTGGCTTCTAGCAATATAGTGGCCCTGGGACTTGCCGAGACAGATTGGTGAACACAAATGGTTTGCTCCTGATGCGTTTGCTTAGCCAAGCTTTACATGTACTGGCAGTAAACAGGGTTCTCAAGTCTTCTGTTAAACAAATGCACACTTATCTGTAACTTTAAAGCTGGAAGCTATAAAATAACTGCCTCACATAAATTTAGAAAGAAAAACACATACACACATACACATATCGCATGTGCCATGTTAGTTTCCAGTCAAATAAAAATAGATTCCTGTGCAGACTGAACATACTAAACAGAAACAGAAAAAGCATAATGTCATTTGAATGTAGCATAACTCTCGCACTCTTCCCGTGTTCAGAACAGCCTCTCACCCGCTAGGAATTAGAGTTGAGCAGAATCTCAGCAACAGGACCCATTTATTCGGAGGCTAACTTTGAGCTTGCCCTTATCCAGTTTCCTTTCAAATATCCTAGAACTGGAATGTTACATCAAACCCTTCTGAGCATGATTATCTGGCCATTTAACTTCTCTTGAGTGCCAGCACTTTATTTACATTTAAAGGATAAAATTGGCTACATTGAAAATATCACATCCAATTAAAACGCTTTATGAAGAAACGCTGCTAATTTTCTCCTCTCATTTGACACACTATCCTCTGAAATCAATTACTGTAGGTTGTCCAATGCATGACAGGTTATAACTTTTAATTATTAATAATGTCAAGCTTAACAAGGTGTCGACTCCAGTATGTAATCCATGTCACTTACTTTCTTAGTTGTCTCATAAACATGACTTGTTTCCTCCTATATATTTTTCACATCAAAGATTTTACGTAAAGCGCATTTAGCTTGTAGCCTTCTTATATATCTGAAGCACATAATAACACTGCTAATTGCTTACTTCTAGTTATGATAGCAAATCACATAACATCCCTGACTAGTTTTGAATGTTTAAAATGCAAAGGAAGTCACCTACTGGTAAGATGTCCCCAGCACACAGCTAGCACAGAAATAAAAGGATGCTGATCACCTCCATCAAAGAGTTACATCCCCATCAACTTAAAGAATCAGATATTTGCTCTTCAGCTATGCCCCTTCGGATCTGACAGTACAACATAAGGCACAACTGATGACTCCACAGGATTCAGCACAACACACAGAAGACAGAAGAGTCTGTTCGACCTCCCAGATCCCCGCATCCAAGTATTCAAATAAAAATGCTCACCTCTGCTAGGAAGTCCACTCCACATCCTGCCAGGGCTCTCACCAGCCTCAGGAGCAACCAAGTTCAATACACAAAACTTCCAGTATGTGACCAGGGTAAAGCACGGTGCTACCGAGACTTGGCTCCAGCCTTGATTATCAGTGTGACAGCACCACGTTATATCAGTGCCGCTCCAAACCTTCTCAGTTGCTGGCTTGTTGCACTGCTCATTGAAAATCCTTTACACGCTGGCAACATTTTAGGTAAGGACAGGCACACTCTGAGTCATTTGTAAAGAAAGCAGAGCAATTTCAATTCTATATCTCCAAGCGTGCTGAAACCAGAAGCACTGTCAACGCACAAGTCTGAGGTGAATTTATGCCGAGAAACAGGCAACCTAAGCCTTCATTATCAATGCATGAAATCAGCCACTGTGATCAAATTCAAGCAAACCACGAGAAGGAGATAATTACGAGAGGCTCCACAGCTTTAGCACCAAACCTTGTGGAATGAAGAATCATCTATCGAAATTGTGTAAACGTTAAAAATAGCTCTGGCTTTTCAACAATGAGCAGGATACAGAGAAGAAATCAGTAGTCTATGTGAGGACTTATAAAGGCTGCAAAAACCAACAGAATTGTAGATTTCTTAGACTTTTCTACAGGCAAATGAAATCATTAAAGGCTATTACAATTACACCCCCTCCCAATACCGTGTTTTTGGCACAGATGAGGATTGAAAAGCAAGTTAAATATCCTTTAACTCCTAAGTGCCTGTGTGTAACTCAAAACAAGGACAACAGTAAATATGTGGAGGGCTGTGCTAGTGCCAGGGCATAAGATTGCCAATTTCACTCCAAGTTATCAGAGGATACATTTTTTTCAGAGTAATCTGTGTAACAAAAGACAGAAATTCAACACACAGAATATTTTCAACATTATAATGTTGGTTTATTACTTTAAAAAAAAATCTATGACCCAGACATCCCTCTCTCAAGGCAGCCCCACATCTAGCCCTTTACCTTTGACTGCCCTTCCTCTTTTGTTACTAACACATAAAATGCAAGTGGCCAATGACCCCGTTTGTACAAGGCACAAGTCATTTCACTCCACAAAGCAGTAATGACTTCAGATCACAAAATGCAGAACTCTGACAGGTGCACGCAAAATGCAAAGCAAAAAGGGTGTAAGACATTTATCAAAAATCACAAATGTAAGTTGAAGAAATTCCTAGCAGATAAGAGTAGCAAAATACCAATTTAAAGTTTCATTCAGAATTTTTAGAGTGACTTTTAGGTGCTCATTCATACACTAAAGAAAGAGCAAATCAGGATGCCATCGTGGCAATTTCTGTAAACGATGGGCTCAGTTCTAGTTACACTACTGGCTTACTTAGTAGTGTCCACAGTCTCAAATATGTGTTGGAAAATTAGTAATGCACCTTTAATTAATAGGGCACTTAGGCATAATATCAACACAGCACTCCAATGGGTATCTCACATGTAGAGCTGACACCTTCTAGGCTGTTACCTTCCATGGAGACAAAGACCCAGGAAAGCATGTAGTTGCGCCTGTATACATATATCCATCTCTTCCTTTAAAGCTACTTTTGCTACCTAAGTTCCACCTGTTTTGTGCTTCACAAAGCCCTGAGGGCAATCAGGAAAAATGATATTGAGCATCATTGATTCAATAATCGCTGAGAACCCCTGCTCTTCTTCGCCTGTCCCAACTTTCCTGGTCTTAGAAAATTGTTCGTAAGAGACTGTATGCTCAAAATCTCTTGATTATAGGTGTACATGAAGCTTCCTAATAAAAATTTAAAACAAAACTGTAATATTTGAGTACAGGTTCTCAGTTATCTAAACTCTTTACTTACTGAGAGCTTCAGAACCTAAATGTCTTCACAAAGGCAATATTTTGTCTATACTATGAATTACAGAATACCACCAGTGGGATCTATAATCAGCTACATTGCCATTTCTACTGCAAGATGTGTGCATATTCATTCTAAATGGAATTTTTAAAAAGGCTATTATTAACCTTAGATCAGGTCAAGTGTCCCCATCAATATCCATTAAAAAACCTTTGGTTTTCAGAGTTTCTTCGATTTCAGGAGTTGCAGGTAAACTGTTCACTTAAACTGTTATCAAGTTATAGATCGGGAAATGGAGCTTAAGCAGGTTGCCTCTTGCAGAGGCAAGAGGTTTGAAAGCACTATTTTTACAGGATGAGCAGAAAGCAGGGCGGGGGGAGATGGTGTTAAGACTCGGACACAAAACAAGGCAGAAATGCAGCAATAATGCAAAATGACAAAACTAGGGCATAGGATTGGAAGGCAAGAAGAATAATCCAATCAGAGTTATTGATTCTAAAAAAACAGCAACATCAGCCATTTATTGATCACCTACTTTATACCCCACTAGTACAAAAGGACTTGACATTTTTTAAATCTAGCTTAATTTTCCAAAAGAAAATTTAAAAGGAAGAATGTATTTTCAGAGGAAGGCCTAAAACAGTCGATTTTCTCACCCTTTTGTCATTACACTGAAAAGCAAAATACCCAGAAAATTAAACATCACACATGACACTGTTGGAAGTAAAAATAAATAAATAAATAAACTTCACCCTATGAAGTAAAGGTCTCTGTTATCACTTGCAGAAAACATAGTAATATTCTTTACCAACAATATGCAAACTGTTTATTTTTAAAGTCTGTTTTTAAAAGGACTATTCCCAGGAAATGTAAATGCAGTTTTGCATATATTACATTTATAAAGTACTTTATGAAAGTGACTGTATAAAGAACTTGAACATAATAAGGCTGAATTTAAGACTGACAAACGTTCACTATCTGCTGAATATTGCTGTATGCCATTCGGAGCCAGATCCAACTGGGAAGGACTAATGGATAAATATATGTGAACAGTACTTTTCTTACCCACTGAAAGAGTAGAATGTGCAGCTCTAGCCCCACATTTAGAATACATCAAGAAGTCATTCTCTTCATGAAGAAGAAAACTGCACTTATTGGTAGCACAACACAATTTAGCAAATTCTTTCTTCAACTAAAATAGGGTCCTGATGATTTGATGGAGTGATTGCAGCTCCTAATGGTAACTGATTATCTGACAGGCTAAGTAACATCTCAGGATCAAAAGCAAAATCCCCATACACCTACTTTACCACGTCCATATAGGAACTCACTGCACCTAGGGATTAAGAGTCCTTAGATGGCAATGCAAGCTCATCAGGGGGCAAACTTTTTAAACAAAGTGCATCAATATGAGGTGAATGTCAGTATACCCAGTCCGTTACACACACACACACACACACAGACACACACACACACACACACACACACGTTCCCTTTTGTAAATGTTGTACACAATGAGAAGAGCAAATGTGCTGGCCCAAGAGCCAGCTAAAGAAAAATCGCAAAGACCAATAATAAATGCCAACCCCTCATTCAGTTGTAGCATCCCACAGGTTGCCTAACTTGGAACAATGGTCAATAGCCTCTTGGTTGTGATTCTACCAACACATGAAAGTACAACACTTGTGTGAAGGAAGTTGGGCAGCCAGTGTGACAACCCATTGGGAAGCACAATGGAAAGGGAACTTATTAATCTTAACTTTCCACTTTTCCATACACTAAATGCTTCTCCCCTTAGATTAGCCTTAAACGGGCAATACTTCTTTTCCAGTAAGGCATCAAGATTTCAAGAATGCCTTTGATGATTCAAATCATTCATGTATCAAACACTTCCTGAAGCTAACACTTGGGTTTAACAAGAAAAGGTGTAGTTGGTTTCATGATTGATTATCTTCTATAATATATGTAAGTGTTCATAGTCCAACGCATCTTTGAGCAAGACTATGTCCTTCTCTAAAATTGAAATCTAACTACTCTTTTAAAGTTTTTTAAAAGTAACATTGGAAGTCCTTTATATTTGATTCCCTAATGTTCTGTATTTATGTAATAGATGCTAGTTCTCTTTAATATTTTTGATTATGTGTACAGAACATGGGGCTGTCCCATAAAGACTTTTTCATATTTATATCAGGTGGAGCCCTAGGTTTCTAACCTCACCTCAAATGGCTAAGACCTGTCTTAAAATCAAACAATTTGAGGGGACTGGAACTAGCTTGAGCCTTGAGTCTATTTCTAAAATGCTTTACTCTCATTTATAAGGAACCTCAATTTCAATATGCCACTCAAAGTGAATCTCAAATTGTGACTCTGTTAGAAAAATAGACATGGGGCACTAACACTGTTCTTGTTAAGATCCACTTAAGATTTTATAAAACATCTGGAAACCAAAGAAGTGATCAATTCTGGATAGACACAGAATCAGAAAACGGTGACACTATTCCTTCTACTCAACATCAGCGCATCAGAATTATTCCAAGAAATAAAAATATTCTGGTCTTTTCTTTGTAAGGTTTTAAAATTTGTACTACAAAAACAGATGACATTTTCTCAAAAATCTAATATGTCGTACTTTGACTAAAGACTTTCTCCCTTCTATCCTTTCATGAAAATCTCAGGAAGTCATATTGGCACCAACCAGTATATTAGCTGCACAGTAAATACTCTGAGAACAAGATTTTATGAACTGATAATTAAGAGATATGGAAAGATAAGTGCATTATAAATAATTTAACTCCCTGCCACCTCCCACCTCATACACCGTTGGTAGAAATTTTCATGAGTGATTTCCTTTCCTTTCACCGTGGTAATTATGTTTTGTAAAAGTCAAAGTGACAAACAGCAGACTTTTCAACAACTATTTTTAAAAACTAAGTATTTAAAACCATATGTTTCTACTGCAGAAGTAAAAGATACTAACATACTGACAGATTCTAAACCTATCTCTGCAGCTATCTCACAAACATAAGTCTGCATCATTTAACATTTTGTTCATCCTTAACATCTCTTACACCAGACCAGGATTTTTCCCCCTAACATGAGGCCATACTAATGTTTAAACAGTAATATTTAATCCTGAGGAAGATCTCTTCTCTTCTCTCCTGTGAATGAGCGCAGATGCACACATTTGTGCACATACATACAGATATATTCCCCACAGATTCTGCCTAGTGCCAATGGAATGCTCGAGAACCATATCATTTGAGCATGTTTTGTTCATACACAAACTTCCAGACACAACCTCTGTCCTGCAAATGGTACTTCTTTGCTGTCCCTACTCATTGATAGATTTTGATGTAATGTTGATCTGAGAACAGAATGAAAAAATATCTGGCTTTCAATATACTTGTGGCACCATCTTGTGGTGATTATACAACACTACATGTTCAAGTTTAAATGCTTTTCAAATGTGCAAATGATATTTGAGGATGCACTTAACATTTTAAAACTTGTGAAACCCAATGCAAGAAACATGGCTTATATCTTTAAAAGCTCCCACACATATTTTAATAGTCATATAATATCTACCTTAGTGTCTTGACCCTAGAAGCTGCTGTAGGATACCAATTTAACTATTGCTTGAATATAGAAGAGGTAAGAGAGAACGCTCAAAGAGAAAATTAATTAGGAGAGAAGAAAACGGAGCATTTGGGTCATCAAAAGCACAAATATGAGAGCAGAGGCATAGACAATGCTCCAACTGACAGCCCACCTTGTCTTCCACTCCCGTTTCTAAACCCACACCTCTACCCTTTCCTTCACCCAGCAAAGTATAACCAACACAAATTCTATTTACACTTGATCTTAAAATTCCCAAAAAGATGCCACTTCTTGGGGCAGGTGTGGTGTCATGAGCTATGTGCTGCTTGGGACAGACACC